CTGCCTTCATCCCGTGACTGCTAATCGGGCCTCCCTGGCGCTGCCAGCTTTCCTGTGGCCAAACCTCAGCGTCTGAGCATTTAATCCCCCTCCAGACCGTGAACCTCGGGGCATTTTGCATTCTCCCCAGGCTAGGTGATGCTCGAGCATCGCATCCCACCAGGAGAGTGCCGAGGGGCAGTTGCTTGCCTGTGGCTCGGCTGAAGTCCCGCCAACTGCCCAGCTAATGGATAACACGGGTGGCCCCACGCCCGGTGTGCACATTAACTTGTTTTCACAACCGACGCGGTCGCCGCGGCCGCTACCATCTCCCTCCGGAGCATCCCCGGCACAGGGCGTCTGCATCCCTCTGCCTTCGGGACCGAAACGGAGGGACTCAGCTCAGAGGGAAGCCTCGCTTCAGGGAGGGGGTAAAACCCTACTGATCCTTAAAAGGGAGAAAAAGGAGGTGATGGGAGCCAAGGATGCCCCTGTGCAGAGCCGGGCGCTTCGTGCATCCAATCTCCTTTATACAGGATTTCCAAATGCGGCCCGAAATGGGCCCCCCCCTTAGCTTTTGCACAGCGAGACGTGCAGCTGCTTTTCTTGTTGCAAGAACATCTCCTGGGGAGAAGGTAGTGGTATTTATTTGCCTTGTGATTATGGAGGAATTTGAGCCTGTGCCAAATGCTGCTTTCTCCCCAGAAACTGCAGCGACGTGGTTTTCGATGCGTCGGAGAGTGCCTGTGTCCAGAGAGGGGCTGCCTGGCCGGAGAAAGCCCGTCTAGCTGACGATCCCCAGGATAACGCTGCTGTCCCGCTGCAGAGCCAGCAGAGCCATGCCTAAGAAGGATGACGACGCCAAAAAGCTGGCATCAGAAACGGTGCCGGACCAGCGCTGGAAACTACAAGTCTTCTACCTCTGTTTCTACGGCTTCATGGTGCAGATCCGACCTGGGGAGAGCTTCATCACCCCGTATCTCCTGGGGGTGGACAAGAACTTCACGCAGGCAGAGGTGAGCTGCGGGCAGCCTGTGTGTCGTCCCCCCTCCCCGCTCCGGTATCCCCTTTTCTGGACGCGATCACCACCCTGGGGCTGGCCAGAGCATCCTCCTGCAGTCCTGGGGTGTGGAGGGGTGCAGACGTGCCCCATCTCGGGCAAGGTGATGTGCGGTGACGCATGGGGTGGTCTGGGTCCAGCTGGCAGCATGTCCCTGTCTCACTGGGCTGCGAGGTCACCCTGTCCCCTGAGACCCAGGTTCAACTTTCCCTGGCATAAGACCTCGAATCTAGGCTGGCAACTGATTTTGGGGGGGCGACGCCTGATCCCTGACTGCCTGGGCAGCCCGTGGGATGGCAGGGAGGTGCTGGGCTGGGAGAAGCCCCATCCCATCCCACTGGGGAGACCCTCCCATGCTGGTGCAGTGCACAGTGCGGGGCACGGGGCTGGGCACCGCTGGGCTGCTGGCAATGATGGGGTTAGACGAGGAGAGGATGTGTGTCGTCATCCCCCCTCCTGACCAAGGGACGCTGGCTGAGGTCCCAGCAGGCTGCTGCATCCGTGGGAACGCCGTGTTCCCAGCACGGGATGGGGCCGAAGCTCAGCCAGACCCCCGCCCGAGCACACCGCAGGCCACATTCCTCCCGAGGAGGAAATCAGCTGATGCCCACCCAAACTGCGCTCCTTTGGGCCGGGGGCATCCCCTAGGGACGTGTCCCATGCTCAGCCCCTCCTTGCACGCATGGCAGGTGTCCAACGTGATCACACCGGTGCTGACCTACTCCTACATGGCCGTGCTGGTTCCCATCTT